CAAGCCTTCGCGTTAGCGGGGTGAGCTCCTGTTTCCTCCCCATTTCCTGTCAACCCAACAGTTCGAAAACTCGTGTGAGTAGATAAATGGGTACTCTCACGCCGGTGGGAGGAAAAATGCTGGCGGCGCCCTGCAAAAAGGAGTCGGGAGCAGTTGCCGGTAAGCACGAAAAACCGCACGCACCCGAAAAGGGGGCAAAGCAACGGAAACCCTGCCTCCTGCGCGTGCCAAAAACACTTACAGATGATTGAAGTGTAACCTGTAGCTTCTTTCAGTCTATGAGAGTTAGTCAAGTCCTAAAGTAGGTATCCTATGCCTTGTTCTACCAGCTGAGGGGGGATCATGTTAATATCATTGCATCTTAATATGAAAACTCTCTGCATATAGAAAATCAGCACTAGGATGTCAAATATACATTAGAATCCTTTCCCTTGTCATAGTCTTCATGAAATCATCTAAGCATTCTATCATTTTTATTCCCTGATTGGGAAACTGAAATGGAACCAGTGGTAGGTCTACTACTACTACTACTATTACTACTACATCTTCAAGACCAACCTAGCACCCAGGGAAGGAATCCTTATAACATCGCCAGCAAATGGTTGTCTAACTTTTACTTGAAAGCCTCCTGATGAAGTACTATGTCCACTGCTTAATAGCTCCCACAGTCAGAAAAGTCCTCCTTATTCTTTATTTTGGACTTCTCTCTGTAAAGCTGGTTCTTGTCTTATCCTTACACACTATGAAAAATAAATCCACAACCTGAGACAACCCTTCGAGTATTAGAAGACTGCTATCATGTCTCCCCTTTGCTTTCTCTTCTTTAAGCTAAACATGCAACAATTCAGACTACTGTTTTGTTTTAAGCAGCCCAAGATAGAATATAGCTCAGAAGTTTATAATTTGACAGTAAAGCAAGGGCTCACTTGAGTTTGCCCATATGTTCCCCCATAATATTTCTGATTTATCAGCCACTGGACTATGGGTTGGGTCTCATCAAATTTTTTCATTTTCAGCAGGGCCATCAAGCCATAGGAGGTGCCTTCAATGTTGTAGGTGCGAGCATTATATTCTTCCCAACGATTCCCTCCTAAAAAACAGCACAGAAACAGAATTTAACTAAACAGATAAAAATATTGGTCACTTACCTTGAAGATGACTTTTGGTTGGAGTGAAAAGAGTGGGAGACTTGACAATCGATTAAAACTCCCACTCTTCAAGAAGGCAGATGCTACATGTGAGTTGTTGGGTGAGGTCATTCAATGGCATGGGGTTGCTGATGATACCCAGTTATTGTCAGCCCCACCAGGTAGATCAGACCAAGAATCAACTCCACAGAAAGGCTAAGACTACTTATATTGAGAGTGGTGTCTGTCTGAGCTGCTTATACTTTCTGCTTGTTTTGGACTCAAGCTATGTTTTTCTCCTCATTGCTTTGGTAATGGATCTGGCCTATCACTGCCAAGGTCATCTTCCTTGCTCTCTACAGTTATAAATCTCCACCCCTGGCTGGGCATGTGATGTTATTCTGGTGCTGACCCAGTGCTTGGAGGCTGTGAGGGTCTAGATGGGGAGAACTTGTTTCTGGCCCCCCCAGGTCTGGTGATGTTATCTCTGTCTCTCAATGGACAGAGATGGTGTGCAATTGGGTGGTCCTCCTGAATATGTGGCTCCTGCTTGAGGAGCAGGTGGCAGCTGTGGCTGGGGGGCCTTTGTACTGTTCCGTCTTGTGCACCAATTGTGCCCATTTCTGAACTGGGAGGCCTTGCTCACGGTCATTCATGCCTTGGTCACTTCCCAGTTGGACTATTGCAATGTGCTCTACATGGGGCTGGACTTGTAGGCCACCCAGAAGTTACAGCTGCTCCAAAATGCAGCGGTGCATTCAGTGTTAGGCGCCCTTTGGTTTGCCCATATCACACTGTTGTGAGATGCACTGGTTCCCATTTTCTTTCCGGGTGCAATACAGGCTCCTGGTTACACCTTTAAAACCCTACATGCACACGGCCAGGTTATTTGCAGGACTGCCTCTCCCTGAGGGTATCTGCTGTTCCACCAGGTTGGATAGGGTGGCCACACTCCAGGTGCCTTCTGTTAAATATTTCCATCTAGCAGGACCTAAGAAGCATTTCTTTTCCACAGTAGCCCCTTCCTTGTAGAGCACTCATCCCCCTGGGATCTGGCAGCCCCCCCTCCCCTTTTAGCCTTTGGGAAAGCTGTAAAGGCTTGGCTTCCCCCCTGGGCACTGCAATAGGATTGCAATGGGATTGTACTTCTTAGGTGGACCGGAGAATGTTGGTTGAAGTACCAGGTTTTTGTTTTACTGTTTTTTGTTTTTTATCATTGTTGTGAACTGCCCAGAGTTGTGTTTCATTGATGGGTGGCCATATAAGTCTTATAAACAAACAAACAAACAAAGGCACTTGTAATCTGTCTCACATGTCACCTGCATCTGCATCACCAGCCTATCTTCCCCTCCCTTATCCTCCACCCTGGCCCTTTAATTAAATTTATTTATTTATTTTTATCTGCCTTTATTATTTTTATAAATAACTCAAGGCAGTGAGCATACCTTATTCTCCTTCCTCCTCCTATTTTCCCCACAACCACCACCCTGTGAGGTGGGCTGAGCTGAGATAGAGGGACCGGCCCAAAGTCACCCAGCTGGCTCTCATGCCTAAGGCGGGACTAGAGCTCACCGACTCCTGCTTTCTAGCCTGGGGCCTTCACCACTGGACCAAACTGGCTCTCTACATCCTACATCCACTTAGCCACTCCATGCATCTGAGGAAATGAGCTATAGCTCATGAAAGCTTATGCCTTTTAATGAAAGTTGTTGGTTGGAAAATGTGCTATCAGTCCCCTGATTTTTTGCCACCATAGACTAACACGGCTTCCCTCCTACAGTGGAGAATCTGGAAACTAAAACAGTAAACAATTTCTGAAGCTGAACTAGCCTCTGGGTGATTACATAGCCACAGTCCTATAGTTTTCCTGGTAAAAATACAGAAATGGTTTGCCACTGCCTTCTTCTGCCTTCTTCTGGGATGTTTTTTCACTTCCCAGGTTTGCCTATAGCTCTGGAATTTCCTAGAGGAATCCCATCCAAATGCTAACCAAGATCCTGTTTAATTTTTCAGTATAAGTAAATGTTGACTAGGAGTATATTCTAGAATCTTAAATGTTGGTTTATCATCTGTTACATTCAGTAGAAGAGAAATAACTACACAGAAAGGTCATAAGGGATGATATGACTCTGTAAGACCCACTAAAAATGCAATATAAATATAAATATTTCCTAGATAAATAAATTGCACATACTTAAATTGCATATACCTTGATAAAGATCAGGGCAAAAATATTTTAAAATAATAAACTATTATTTTATATATCATATTAAAAATCATGGCAACTTTTTTTCATTGTTTCTTTTTTCTTTTCTCCTTTGCTAATACTAAAACATGGTAAATGCAAATAAGCTTATGGGCTATATGCTTATAAATATATGTTAGATAAAGAGTTCAGCAGGGGACTAATGGGTTGGACACAAATTCTGGAATAAAATTTAATTAAATGCTACTTTCCGTAGCTCTGTACTTTCAGAAGATCAAGAACTCTAATTCAACAAACAAACCATGGTCCCTTTACAACTGGCAGCCTATGTGAAGAAGAGCTTTGCATCTATTATTACTGACATTTTTTTTTTATTTGACAAGGCAGCTAGAAGCAAAGAGGTGGCCACGTGCGTGTGGCTCTTGATTTTATTTTTGTCACTGCAACATCTAAGACCTATGTCCATTGTGCTTCATGTTCCCAGCTAATTGTCTTAACCCGTCATTCTGCTTCTTACAGGAATTGGCTGTTTTCAAAACCCAACCACACCTGTTTCTTCTATTTAAAATAAACCCACAGATGTACCTGTTGATGCTGCCATGAGTATCCTGTCGTCATTCAGCCTTTCTGCAGCAGCCAAAGCATAGGCTGTGAGGGCTGTAGTGTAAGGCCTTTGCAGTGTTGGGTACTTTTTCATTAAAAAGTCTGCAGCCTTTCTGATGCTGCTTTCTAGAATCTAAAAGTGAAGGCAGAGGGAAGAGAAGAGAGGATAGTTTTTAGACATACTTTTGGTGTAGTTATGTGCTGCCCACTTCCTGCTTGTATGTTTTGCATGCTAATAATGCAAATTTAGCCATAATATGTATTATTTTAGGGTTTTTATCCAGGAAGAGTTGTGGAACATAAATTCATTAGGAATGTCTTAAATAGAGAATGTCTGTAGAACCTGCAATATAGCAGGACAGGGGCCGAGAATTCAGTGGCTGCTGAACCACGTACAGAAACTCTTTCTGCATAGATCTTTCTAAATCTGCCTTTGAGGAATGCTGATGATAGAAAACTACATCGCAGCAGTGAAAAGGCTCTTCGGCACTTACAAATCATTAATTGATCTAAATAACTTGCTGGCTTGAAAGTATATATTCAATTTCCTAATACTGTCCTTACTGTTTTTTGACATTACATGTATTAATAAAGCATAAACCACTGCAAGGCTGGTTAGGCTACTTTGAGATCCTGAACCTGGGCTTATAGCTTGGCCCAGAAAGAGTGAAAATGGAATGCTATGATCAAAAAACCCCCCAAAGATGCGGTCACATCGTGGCCTCTCGTACCATTTCCCACGACAGCATCGCTTACATTGATATGATCGTTGCAGATTGGTTTGGATTCCAACAATGCAATCACGGTGAAAGCTGTTAAAGATATTTCTGGTTCAGCACCCCTACCTCCTCCCTAGAAGAAAGCAGTGGGGGGAGACAAAAAAGCAACCCAAGGTAAAGTTAATAAATAAACACTTCCGTGTAATTCCAGCTGCCCTCCCCAAAAGTTGCCCACTCAATAAAAACGAGCCTAGTTTCACCATTCTAGTCTCACCTTGAAAGCTCTTAACATTCTCTACTGTACGTCTTCTCTCCTTTTCCCTAAGCATTCCTAAGCCACACCCACATGATGCTTTGGCAGGCTTCCCTCCCACTCTGGCGCTGGCAGGAAATCATGTCCCCACAAAACCTGCTCTCCCATAGTGGGCCCTTACTGTGGACACAGAGCAAATCCTTGCTGTGCTGCTGTCCATACAGCTTTAATGTGCAACATTCTAAGGCCTGTGATTGGTCATTCCCTTGGATGAAATTCCAGCCAAGACCAATATCATCCAGCATGTCATATGCCTCCTACAACTGGTATGCATAACGCTCTGGTTAGACCATGCTGTGCATCTTTTACCTTTTTTCTTTCCCATCCTACCACTGATCGACTGAACTCTTTTTTTTATTCCTTATCAGTATGGTTGACTAGCTGACTGATTTATCAACCTTGGGGGGTGGGGGCCAGCAAAGAGTTCTTGTATCTCTTGGCCATCTAGTGGCCATCGGAGTTTGTCCATTCAAGATGCAGTGTTGTTGAAGAGTTGAAGTTTGAGGAAACCATTTAGCTGTGGGGGTCAGGGTGGGAGCTATGAACTATCCTCAGAATGTAATGTGAGGAGAGGAAGTAAGAACAAGGGGCAGCAAACTCTGGGAAATAAATTTTCTGCCAGATAGTCTGCAGAAGAAGAAATGAGTCCTTTTAATTAAACTTTTAATTACTTGCTTTAAGCCAGGCATAGTCTGGACAATTTCAAGGCTTCATACTCTGAAGCTGACCGGCTGACTTTACTTAAAAAAGAAAAATAACAGGCTGTAGATGCCAGAATTCCAGCCTCTTCGTGAAAGAGGACTGGAGAACAGGCAAAATGGTCAGGGACCAGACTGAAGGGGATTGCTGGAGCCATACGATTGCTAACACAGAGCACTCATTTCAGGGCACTGCCCAGTACATGTCAACATGCCCTATATTGCCTGTGTACAGCATCTTGAAGTAGGATATTAGGAAGACCAATGTGGTTGGGCTGTCTCAGCTAAGGAGACACTAAGTTACAGATGGAGGTATGATGACGTGCGCTCAGGAAATGGTGAGTGGACCATCCTTGTAGTGAGTGGACCATCCAGAGCAAGAAGATTGGCTCCGAAATTTCTTTGTAGAGCCTCGTTTGCTATTGTTCCTACATTGTTCCTTCTCTGCTGTAGGCTTTCTTATCTTTGAAGCAGCTTCCATATTCAAATTTCTCCATGAAATCTATTCTCTCTTTAAGTCAAATCTTACCAAGGCTATTCTTTCTGCCATTCATCTCTTTCCTACTGCTGATATCCCAATCCTGTTTCTTTTTTCTATTTATTTTGTACATATTTCACAGATGGTTGCATATTTTCTAAAAAGCTGCACATCTTTTGTGTTTTTGCTCACTATCTAGTGCTATAAAAAGGTTTCATTATAGAGATATAATAATAATAATAATAATAATAATAATAATAATAATAAAATAATAATAATAATAGCAGCAGCAGCCGCTGCCGCCGCCACCGCTGCCTTAGGTGCAATCCCAAAACATCTGGAGCACCACTTTTATTATTTTATTTATTTATATTTCAAATTTGTCACCACCCATCTCACTGCAGACTGACTCTCAAGTGTGGTTAAAGGCACTTGAAGACCATTGGCATTGACAAAATCACCACTGGTCAATTGCAAAAGGCAGCTTTACTTAGAACAGCTTATATCCTGCCACAATCCCTTTAACACCATCAAACAACATCTGCCTATCCCAGGTCCTTGGGAAGGACTTGATAGGTGGATAGAAATGCCAAATCCAGTCTAAACATCTGGCTGACTGTGCGACCAACCATAACAACAACAACAATAATATTCACCTTCATGTCCTGTCTGAATTCTTCTAAAGCTCCTGGCTGACCAATGTCATTCGAGAAGAAGCTAGCAATGAGCCACCTCGTCCAGTGCAATCATCTCTAGACTTGGGTTTTTTTGAGTTAAGAACTAGAAAATCCCTGGATTTATATAAATTAAGCAGTCTAGGAAGGAAGGAAGGAAGGAAGGAAGGAAGGAAGGAAGGAAGGAAGGAAGGAAGGAAGGAAGGAAG